CCGCCCCCGCCGGGGGCGCGGCAACGCCCCGCCCCGCCCGCCCCTCCCCCCCCGGTCTTGAGGCTTATTTTGAATTTTCACTTTGCCCGTTTCTGGCTTTTTTTTTTGGCCGCCCACCCCCAGGGAACCCCCTCAGGACAGGAGCAGTGATTGGAGCAGGGCTACCCCTCCGCTGGGTCAGGACCGCTGCAGACAAACCCCGTCCCCATCCCTGAGGATGTCCCTTGCACACCTGAGGATGTCCCTTGCACACCCAGGGATGTCCCCTCGCACACCCAGGGATGTCCTCATGCGCGCCCAGGGCTGCACGAGCCCCCGCAGCGGGACCTCGTGCCAGGTGAGCCCGTGACGTCCTGGCGGTACCACTTTTGGGCTCACGCTGAAAGCCCCTGAGCGGATAAGGCAAAAATGAGCATTTTTTTACCTTCCCCCCCGGGTCCCGGTCCCCGCAGGGCTTGTCACAGCATCACGCATGGTTCGGCATTAATTGTCGCGTTCTGCAGTGATCACGGCCCATCTGAACCAGTAAAAGATAACAGCGGTAAAACATACGTGTGTGTGTGTGTGTGTGTGTCCGTCCCCCGTTCCAATTGTAGCTGCTGAAAATTGGTTGTTGCATCTTGCTAGTGGGGGAGGACAGAAATGGAACTGAGCCTTGCTTGAAAAATTCAGGGGAAGCTGAATCCTTATCACGCTCCTTTGCCAGATTGGAAAAAAAAAAAAAAAAAGCCTCCTACGTAAAAATAGACGAAATGAATGAAGAATTTACAAACATCTATATTTTGTGTTAGGAAATGTGATAAAATTAGGAAAACAGCCGAAGACACTGATTTATACAACTCTGACTATTTCAGGCAATGAGAGGTCCACATAGCACAGTTTAACAAGATAAAAGGTCTGCCACGAAATACACAGATGACGGACATCTCATCTGAATTTGACATAACACAGCATCCAGTACACACGTGTGATGTGATGAACAGTGCCAGGTCAGTCCCTGGGTAGGTAACATACAACCTCTGGAATAAGGCAATTCAAATATAACTCTTAATTGAATTCAAATCACAACATACCCAGGCAGCATGCAGGGAAAAGTCATTTATTTTGTACATCGGAATGACACAACTTGCAACGTGGTTCCATTTTTATGTCATTAGAGCAACAGGATATAAACCATTCAAATAATATATATATATATATATCTCAAGTCAACAGTTGTTTTTACTGGAATAAAGATAATCTGTTTTTTGGTAAAAATAAAACTATTTGAATTCACTAATTAACAAAATGCACAGTGATCAGAAACCCAATTCTTCTCGCAACTGTCTTCCCCGGCTCGCTGGCGTTTCCCTGTTCACTGGAACGCAGCCCCTCGTTTTCTTTATTAGCAATTGATTCCTCCAGATATTTACGACCGAGAAATTTAAGAAATTACCAATCTGCTCAGAAGCAAAAAAAAAAAACAACAAACAAAGAAACAAAAAAAACCCAACCCCAAAACCTGAGCCAAAAATCTCTCTTATAGGGTGGAGCCTAACGGACGTGGACGTGGCTTACAAAGGGCTGATAAAGGTATCACGCGGATAAATAACGGAGAGGGAGAAGTCACCCGAACGCCTCACGCCTGCAAATGGGTGGTCGAGCGATTCCTCTCCTTCACCAGCAGTTCCGTCGCAGTCGAGACCTTCCCGCTTAGAGAACCATCCCCCGGGCTTCCAAACCTATCCGTCCACGAGAAGGACCGCGGGAGAAACCGGATTGTCGGAGTGATTGTTACTGGATCCCATTTATCACCGTTATAAAGTTGTCTTGTTGCCTCCCTACTACTCCGGTAAAAAAATCATTGGTGTATTTCTTTGCCCTTGAAGATACAAAAAAGCAAATCTTCAAAAGATAGCGGGGAGAAAGGTGCTTTCACAATGACATTCAGAGCAAAAAGAGAGAAACGACATCTTACAGATCGTTAGAGAGCTATCTTTGGCAGAATATTTCAAATAAATTATCTTTACAAATATTTTCTGCAGTCGTATATTTATTATGAATAGTTCACTTTCAGCTATAGGGTTACTGGTTCACTACTCTCTATTAATAGGAAAACACCACAAATATAAAAATATATGAGCTCAGCACGATTTTTAGGCTACCACAACTGTCTCCGACGGTTTCAAAAGTCGTAGACCGACACCACAGAAAAGATGAAACAGGTTTTTTTGTTATTTTGTTTTGTTTTTTTTTTTTAACGGTGTGTGCGCGGGGTTGGGAGACTCCCCCAGCTTGTTGCCGCCGTCGTGAAAATGTGGCGGGGTGGGCAGCGGGTGCCGTCGCACGGGGTGACCGGGGAGACGAGCCGGAGGAGCCAGATGCTGCTGCCGGACATCCCCCTCCCCGTGGGGAACCGTCTCTCTTTGACCGTAAGGCTTAGAGATGTCACGCTGGGTGGTGGCTGAAGGGTTTTCCAGCCCGGGCAGGAGAGGAGGGAAGCGGGTGGGTGACGCTGCGCCGGGAGGTTTTCGGACAAAAAAAGCCGGACCCAGTCCTGTGCTTCACCCCCAGGAGGGAGATGGAGCGCAGCCGCTTCCATCCCTCAAAGCCGCCTCCTTTCCCCCTTTCCCATGGGAAAAAGCACCCGGGGAGCTGCAGGCTTCGCCCTCGCCCCGTGGCCACATTCTGCCCCTGGGCTTTAGCCGAGACCCCCAGCGTGGATGGTCACTCTGCCGGGGACCCCGAGCCTGAACCAGGGTGCCCCAAGGAGGGGGCTCACCCAGTCCCAGCCTCCCCCTCCCAGCATGTGCCACCGAGTCCACCGAACATTTCGATTTAAGTATTTCACTTTGTTTATACAGCATGTACAGAATATACAGCATGGGATAATTATTTTCCCAGTAGACTACAAGCGTCTCCCAAGGTGACCTCTTTTATCCACAAATATATATATATATAAATTGACGGTAATAAAAGAGTCGTACCAACAAATATTATGGCTTTTCAAATAGTGTAGCTGCATTGTGCCATTGAATGTACCAGGAGAGAGACAGAGAGATGGGGAGATTTTGGATGCTGAGCGCCGCCCCCCCCAGGGAGGGGAGGGGGCTTTGCATTGCCGGGGCAGTGCTGGCTGGCGGAGCGGGGAGTGGGAAGGTGGGGTTGAACTGATGACCCGTGCTCTCTCCAGGTGAGCCAGTTCTTCTTCAAACTCCTTTCAGCCCGGCTTTGGGAAAAATTTTTGGCTGGGGTCTCGCTGCTCTGGCCCCGGCAGGGGGTACCGGGTGGCACGTTGGGGGTCTCTCTCTCTCTCTCTCTCTCGGTTTGTGGTTTGCACAAGACATGTCCACCCTGGAGTGCCCTGTGGCTGGGAGGGGGAGGACGCACAGGGTGACGGGTGACACAGGACATGCTGGGGGTGACGGTGGCGGGTGGTTGGGCTGACCCATGCTTGGGGTGCGTCAGGAAGGATGGTGACAGCCTCCCACCCCATCAAAAATACTGGAGGACAACCTTGTCTGGGGTAGTGCCATCCCCAGGGCCACCGCTCTGGCAACGGGGCACCCACGAGGTGGGCAACCTGCCCCCCCAGCACCGCATGTGTCTAGCCACTAGTCGCCCTGCCCCTCTCTTTTTTTAGGACCAGCGAGGCATCTGGAGCTCTTTCTCTCCTGCATCCTGCCCTTCCTTGGGCTGCCTCGTCCGTGGGGAGCATCCAGCATCCCTGGGACAGGCAGCTCAGCTCCCTGCCCGCGCGTCCCTCTGCACCTGCGTGGGATGGCAGCAGAAGCTGCCACTGATCTGAACCACGTCCCCACCACAACAGACGCGTTTCCGCGTCCTCTCCAAGCTCGTCGCAGCGGCCCGTTTTCTATGCTGGAAAGAGGAGC